AAATGTTTTATGTTTTATTATTTTATTATTTTTAAGATCAATAATCATAANTTAAGGAATTTCAAATGTCTTACACAACGACAAAACAACAAAATCAAAAAACATAACTCTTTAATATAGTAACAAGGAAATCTCAATTTTATGGTTATGAATGAAAAAAAATAAAAATCAGTTGACAGTTTGAACGATAAATCATGTTTTTTTTAGATCAATAAGCTAGTTATTAAACTTATATAAGTCAAATCATCATCAACACAAACAATCTCTCAATTACACAGAAACACCACAAAAAACAGACAATAAAGAAAACCCACAAGAACCCTCTTTTCTCGTCCATTTTCTCTCCTCATTCTCCAAAAAAAAAAAAAGAAGAAGAAAACACACAAAAACATACATTTAAGACAAAAATTGAAAAGGGTTTGTGCAAAGGGAGAGTACCAAAATGCACAGCCAATGTGATGGTTGAATTGAGGATCAGGGATGATAATCAAATGACTTTGACGACACTAGAAGTGGCATCAGAGTCATTCTCATCAGCCGAAGCTGGTGGGTTTGGATTGAGAAGGGCACGAATGGTGTCATCGTTGGGGTCATAATATGGGTTGAGGTTGCGATTTATGGTTTCACGTCCCTTTTTAAGACATGGTTTACAAGCCATTTTTATGGCTATCCAACACAGTGTCAGTCCCGCTATTGCTATGATTGTTATCGTCAGTGCCCCCATCTCTCTCTCTCTGTCTCTAGTTTCTTTGATTTTTGCTCCTGAGTTTTGGGAATTGAGAGAGAGGAAATGATAAATCATGTAAAGATTTCTTTAAAACCCTTAAAAAAACCTTTTGTACAGAGAAGGAAACTTTGCTGCATGGACGGTTATTGTTGGATTTGAAGCCTATTATTCAGGAGTGTATATCGCTGAATGAGTTTTGTACGTCTGTGTAGAAGACGGTCAAGGCAGACGTCTATTATGCCTTTTTCAAAAGGTAGGGGTAATATAGTAAACTTGAAAAAAGTGGACTTAAAATCAAATAAGTTTCTTTGTTGGACTTATCTCCAAACAAGTCCATTTAGGAGGACCCACCCCTAATTTTCACAAAAAACAAATATCGATCACTGTAGTCTAAGTGGGTTTTAAATATGTTCCTAAAAAAATAAGGATGATTGGCTCCGGTAAGTGTTAAAATATGACACGATCCGTTAACACAATACACAATTAGAAGGTTGAGTCTTCTTTAAGCCAATCATTTGATAAACGAGTAAGCTCGACATGATACAATTTTAATAAATGAATAGATATAGTGAAACTAATAAAAAGAAATATATGATACGACTCGTTTGTATATTGATTTTACATGATTCATACGTGACATGAACCCAATATAACACAATGTGAATTAGGTATGAGTGAAATATTTTTTGACACGAGCCTTTTAAGACCTGAGACAAGCCCATCTCACCTGATATAATTGATAGGCCTAACTAGTCTTTAAGAGTATGAGAAATCTTGAATTTGAAACTTTTGAATTACTAGATGTTAGATTCAATTAATGAACTACCCTAAGGATTAGAGAGAGAGAGAGTTAACAAATGTTCAGGGTTTCAATTTATCATATGATCTACGACATCAAAACTAAGATGTATTAGTCACAGATTTATTATACACAGGGAGTTACACTTGAATTGACCATAGATGTAGCAGCGAAAAATAGAGGAGATCTCACTTTGATATTAAAATGTAAATTTTTGGTTTTATAATTAAACCCCACATTTATGAATGTGGCTAAAATATTGATGAGGAAAAAATTGGTGCGGTATTGAAATTAATCAACAATTATAAATTTTAATTTGATTTCATTAATTCTAAAAATAATATAAAATAATAAATAAAATATTTTACACATATCACGTTTTTATTAGACAAAAAATAGAGCATAAGTAGACCCCACATTTATATATGTCCATGTTGTTTGGAAATACCTCAGATAATAGATTTAGTGACCTAACAAATGAGAGCCGTTAGGGTTCAAGGTGGGTGGTTGAACTGACCATCTCGAATTCAGCAGAAAATTGTCTTACCGTACCCATTTTTTTTTTTTTTCTTGTATTGTATTGTATTGTATTGTTGGTTACTATTTTTTATATAGTAAAATTATAATTTTGAAAAAAAAAATTATAATTATTCAAAGAAAGACTATTATCCATCACATATACCAATGATCGATTATGAATTCTCAATATCGATCTCAACCTTTATGATAGATCATGAATTCTCGATATCAATCCCAACCTTAAAAACTTGTAATTTTTGGTACAGTACTACTTACTATCGATAGTATTGTACCTCCCCCATGTACTTTCTCCAATTAGCGACAATGCATCATATTCTTTCTAAATTATATTATATCAAAATTTAATTATCTTGTACTTACCATTTATAGCCTTGCATAGTAAAGTTCACATAAGAATCATATTTAACTAAGTTCGTTTCCCGTATAACAAAATTCATATTCATATTGACCCGATTAAAAAAACAAGTTGAATAGATCAACTCAATTATGATGGTTTATGAATTAATCCGTTTAAAAAAAAGAACCAAGTAATGGGCATTAACATAATAGAATAGTACTCTTGCCGTTTTATTTGGTCCCTTCTTTTTATCATTCTAGTATTATCCATAAGAAGTACCAATGAGTACAATTGGTATTATTACATTCTAGGGTCAAACTACAAGTCTACAGCACTGAAAAGGTATTATCCATAACAAGTACCAATGAGTTCAAGTGTATTATTATTTTTGGAAATTATACCTCTAATTTTTTATCGATAAAAATATGATACGTATAAAATGTTTTATGTTTTATTATTTTATTATTTTTAAGATCAATAATCATAAATAAATCAACACAAGATCGATGGTTAAGATTAATTTTTCAGTATGGTACCCGTATTTTTTTGTGGGTACCATAGTGTGGTCCTAGATTCTTATATGACAAAAGATTGCTCAGTCATTAGGTTACCAAAAACATAGAAGTTGGCAAGGCGACTCACCACCTCTTTATCTGTCTTTCCTAACACAAAGCTTCCTCGCTCCACCCCTTCTTCCGAAACTCAAACTCATGTATGCACTGTTTTGACATTTAAAAGCTTCATTGTCCTTCTCATTATCATTTCAACAAACAGTTTATGCTCATCTGATACTGTAACTCTCTCTCTCTCTCTCTCTCTATGACTAAGGCCAAGAGGATTCCCATCTTTGTGCTTAGGCTCATGGCCTTGGTTGCAACAACTTTAGCAGCAATTATCATGGCCACAAGCCACGACTCTGCTACGGTTTTGAACGTGACATTCGAAGCAAAGTATACAAATACACCATCATTCAAGTATGTTTTTTTTGTAGAAGCGATCATGGTCAACGAACAGAGTTTTTATTTCTTCATGATCATCAAACTGTGAGGACACTTGATGACTATGTGCTGAAACTTTTTTTGTGCAGGTACTTTGTGGGTGTCAATGCAATTGCAAGTGGGTATAGCTTCATTCTTCTCTTTCTTCCTTCCAAGAATTTGCTTTGGCGCCTCGAGTTGGTTTTCGATTTGGTATTGGAAAATTCTTTCTTTGTTCTTCAACTATATATTGTTGACATAGAACACAGCTCAAGCATATTAGATTTGGTATTGGAAAATTTTTTCTTTGTTCTTCAACTATATATTGTTGACATAGAACACAGCTCAAGCATATTAGATTTGGTATTGGAAAATTCTTTCTTTGTTCTTCAACTATATATTGTTGACATAGAACACAGCTCAAGCATATTAGATTTGGTATTGGAAAATTTTTTCTTTGTTCTTCAACTATATATTGTTGACATAGAACACAGCTCAAGCATATTAGCATGACGTACTCTACCCCTGCTCAGGATTTGAAACCAAACTTCTCCTCGGGAGGATAGATAAGGCGATTTAAGACTTTAATCTATTAATGACCCCAACTGTGAAAAAAAACATTATCTCCACTCCCGTCCTAGGCTGACAATCATTTTTCTAAATCACCATATAATTTTTTGGATCCATCTATACATATAAATGGGCTTATACAGATTTTGTTGTAAACTTTTATAGGTTATAACATTAATGCTTGATTCAAGCATATCAGCAGCTTTGGGCATAGCTCAGGTGGGTAAGAAAGGAGACAGTCATGCTGGTTGGCTACCAATCTGTGGGCAAGTCCCCAAGTTTTGTGATCATGTCAAAGGAGCTCTCATTGCTGGTTTTGTTGCGGCAATAATTTACTTTCTTCTTCTTCTTTACTCTCTTCACAATGTCCTTGATCTTCTCACTATTACAGGCCCTCCCCTGTGAGGATTTTGTTATTTCTCCATGTCACTCAGTCTCATCTCCATTTTCGTTTTGCATATAGCTAATTGGGTCCAATAATAATACTAAAAAATTACTTTTCGATTCCATACCTTATTTTGTCAATCAATGAAAATGCAACAAGCATAGGCTACAAAATACTTGTAACAAATCCCTTTTACAATATGCATTTGTATATTGATGCTAGTGTTTTTGTTCTTTAAATCAAACTACATGATACATACACTGTAAACTCTAAATGGAGCAAAACTCCACAGTAAAAGAATTAGCATAAAGATAAAATGCTTTAGAAGGACATCATCTTGCTACCAAAGAATATGTGCTACTCCCACGGTTTCACGAATAATTTCTACTCCAAAGGCTTCAAGAATTGACCGTATGAGTTATTAAATAAAAACCGACATGACCCGACAAAACCAAGCCTACAACGCATGCTAATGGATGCTGGGTTTTTGCCCGATATGATGTCCAAAATGTACATTGGCAAAACATGAATAAGAGATGCCACTTCAAGCAGCATCTGAGTCAGAACTCAATAATCATGACAATATGAGACATCAATTAGAAATAAATAGAGAAAAAAAAAGGAAGTTAACAAGTAGTACACTAGTCTATGGGAAAAATCAACTCCTAGACAGCAACTGCTACCCTTTCTACCTTCTTAACAGATGCCATTACTGTCTTTCCAGATTCTGCATTTTCGGGCTTTTCAATTCCTTGTATATCTGTTATCCTCAGCTTTGTCAATTCCTGAAAGAAACATAATAGTAAGAACAATAACCTAACCAACACTTTTCTGTTAGGTGTTGGGTAGAGTGGTGGTTGTGGCAGGGGAAAGGGGAGTGAAGTGGGGGATACAACCAAGTTTAACATTGCAAATCAATCTGACGAAAATTCGTCATACCTGTCGATGCCCTTTAGTTCGACGATAGTTTTTCCTTCTCTTTTTCTTGAAAATGAGTACTTTCGCATCCAATGCCTGAAAAAACCAACGAAATGACTCTTCAATGGCAAATTGAAGGTGCAAGCAAATTCAGTTACATTTCACTTGGGAAAAAGCCCTTGTCAACAATGTGAGGCTTGTTGGAAAAATCATATTCCACCTAAGGCACAATGTCACCAATAGAAAACAAAGATAAAATCCATGCCCTGGAAGAGTAAAGCTAATCAGTTTCCCTGCTATTATGATGATATCAGTTATCAATCTGACCAAACTAGCTGATCAGAAGAGAACTAGTAAATTTCTGATAAAAAGTGCACTTGCCAAATTAAAAGGAGCAGTCGTCTATCAAATAGCCAATCTTCTTATGATCAACACAGCTTGTATATTCATGAGACTACATATTCCATTAGTTATTTGATGTTTTCTTGTTCTCCGTAAATGTTGAAGTGCCTTGTACTACAAAGGCTAACAAAAGAACCCTCAATATTTTTTAAACAAGTCATGGTTCCATTCAGCAAATAGAATTCAGTATATAGTACTGACGTCCACACTATTTAATACCATCCACTACCAAATTGAGCCAGAACCGAGGTCTTTATAGTGGTATATTACAGCACATGTCCAAACCATCAAATAAGCTCTATTAAGTTTAAATACCTGGAAGGTTAATTCCCATACATCCAAACATGCAGAATTTATTATTTTCAGTAATTGGGAAATACAACCCTATTTTGTAAACAAAGTGAAGGCAGGTAAAAGGGATATACTAGATGTCAATCTTACATGCTCTTCAACAACAGCATGAACTGTGGCATCAGACAACATAGGCCGGCCAATGATCGTCTGCATTTTCGAGCCCATCATAAGAACCCTGTTTAAAATCAGCTGCAATAGAACATGTCATAGAAGCATCAACTGATATTCATATTCATATGGAACCACCGACGGTTTGGCGAGAGTAACTGAAGGAATCACATATGCTGCATGGTATGGAATCACTGTAACATGTACAAATCAAGGTAAAAGCCTTAAAGTTCCCATTAAGTCCTATCAAAGAATGTGGAAACATTTTGTTTCACTGCTAAGAAGGTAAACCCAAGGGCTAAAGTTCATGACGTGGTTCTACAAATCTATATCTCAATAAGCAGAATAAAGCTGTGTCTTCCGAACGAGCACACTTATAAAATGAAAATTTTCAAGTTCATATTTCGACATCCCATTAGAACTGAATCTAAGCAAGATATTATATGTTATACGTCAACTTTTCACATACCCATAATGGCAAATGGAGCCAGATCAAAAAGAAGAGTGCTCATTTTTTCATAAACTACTAAACTAATGAATCAACATGGAACCCATGTTGCATTACAACATTTTTTACCTTCATATCTTGCATCAAAATTGTCAAGGCCATCCAAAGTCCAAACACAGCCTAAATCTTGTATCACACACAACACAAGTGAGAGAAAAAGGTCATCACTCTGCTTAATTCCTGTTAAACAAGAGTGTTGCAAGGAGTGGATTGAGTATGGATATAACTTCTGGCATAAAGTGCACAAAGTGGTTGCTCTCCCATTCCATTCCACAACCATGAGGCTATTAATTTGGGAATTTTACTACACCCAAAACGGTGGTAATCACTAATACAACAAGACTCACCAAAGAACACAAACTAGCCCAAAAAATAAGCATATCGTAAGCAAATATAAACTCAACTGACCTTATCATTCACTTCACAGTATTTTAGCCTCTCTGTAAAAATGCTATCCCCATTGCTCACCTTAAACTGGTGTGATCCAATCTACAAAAACCACATAACAATCAGATGCAATCACTCACCACCTCAATGAATTCTTCAACAATATGCACATACGCTAATCCCCGTTACTGAATTTCAATACAAAATAAATCAAAATCTGAAAAACTGAACCTGAACAACAGCGAAAACGGGCTCGTAAGGTTTGAAAACCTGGTCCGACTTCTCTAGCCTCCCAATCACTTTATACCCAATACCAGCCGCCTCAATTTCTCTCTCCTCCAGTGACTTAGACGTCGAAACATTCTCATCATCATCAACTTCATCACCACTCTCTGCATCTTCACTTTCGTCATCATCGCTCTCGTTATTCTTACCAGAACAAAAGCTTTTCGACAAATTTGGGAATTGGGTATTGAAATTGGATCTGGGATTGGTGAAAATGTGGTGGAATTTGGTAGCTAGGATTTGTGGGTAATTCGTTGAATTCAGGTTTAGAGGTTGTGGGTGATGAGGGTTTAGGGTTTTGAGGGAATGGAGACATGGGTTTGAGGAGAGAAGGAATGGAGGGTGACGGCTTAAAGTTTGGAGACAACGACGATGAGCCATAGTGAGCAAGTGTAGGGTTTAGTGAATTTGAATTGGTGAGTGGGGGTTACGGCCTCTGGGAATTGAAATATTTTAATTTTATTCATTTTTTTTTTGTATAATAACTGAATTTTTGGATCAAGTAGTACTAATTGGATTGACAATCGTGATGGTATGTCAAAAATAAATTATTTTATTGTATTTTAGACCTTAAAATTTTGAGTATCAAAAATAATTTATTCACGTGTAAGAATAAGATTGTGTATATTTGATATTTTTTTGTCTATTATTTTAATATTAATCTAATTATCAAATATTGTCACCCATGTGCAATGTGCTCTATATATCCAAATCTCAGTTGATTCTACCCGTTTTTGAGTGTGTTAAATTCGTCTCAGTTCTAAATCAAGTCAAATTTTCAAGTTCTTCACTAACTAGCACCGATTGAAAATTAATGATGACTAAAAGTAGATTTATGCACAAAAAGACGACAACGATAGCTAAAGAACTTTATTAATAAAAGAATACAACGTGATAATAATAGAGAGAGTAAGAGGACACTCAAAATAAAGTGTGCGAGATCTCATACCCCTGTGTAAGGACCTTATAATTTATAGACACAGAATTTTCGCTGAGGCGGTGGCATGAATGTCAAAATACTAATTTATCGGAGAGGATAGTTACAATTGAGGATATACACTATCTTAGAGTAATGACTATCTTGATGATTGCTCTCTCAAGTGCGCCGACTCTTTTTGGACTCTTGAGTTTTGGATTAAACTGATATCATGAGTTAAGTCTGACCTGCTTTCTGATGGTTTGGGCTCAATCCGTGAACTAGGCTTAGGTTTAGTCTAAATTTGGGCTCGTAAAAAACGATTAGAATACAACTCAACTTGAATTAACAGTTCAATTTGACTCTTTTTTTTTTAATAAACCAATATTTTTTCAATCACACGACCGCTAAACTTGTGGCTACAATGTAAATTTTGGCTATAATATGAATTTAAAATACGTGCAAGGAATGGACTATTATCGGATTTGACACACTACAGCTAAAGAAATGTACAACGAGCTGTAACGGGCGGGAGGCCAATGTCCTTTTAGATACCATGACTCACGGTCAAGTTAGGACCTTCACCTCCAACAGGTCACATAGGCCTTTCGCCGGAGTTTACGACGGTCTATTCTTTTTTTAGATTGAGTTGATTGAGATCTTTAATTAACGTTCATTGAAGGAACTGTCAGTCACCTTTCTCATCTAACGAGAGTTTGAGTACCACGAGTCTGTCGACTATTATGTGGAAACTCTCACAAACCAAACGAATTAGAACAATCAAAATTTTTCTCATAAGACTTATTCCCTCAAAAAAAAATATTATTTTCTTATAAGATTGAGTACTTAGTGGTGGAGCTACCTTTTAAGTCTTGGCAAAGCAACACAATCTGTTTTAGTGGGCAAAGGTGGTTTAAGACTTTAAGTGGCTGCTCCAGGAACTTCAGTACAGCTCCTCATAGGAACAGTAGTTCCCCTCAATCTTCTCTGGGCAGGCTGAGAGCAATTAATAGTTATTTTTGGAATTTTCCACTGTGTCGAGTTCGTGTCAAAAAATAATTGATTCATACTCAATTTGTTTATTAATTCATGTCCAATAANAAATAGTTATTTTTGGAACTTTCCCGTGTCGAGTTCGTGTCAAAAAATAATTGATTCATACTCAATTTGTTTATTAATTCATGTCCAATAAATCATGTCATATCAAGTTCAGTTCATATATAAATCGTGTCGTGTCGTATCGTGTTCACTTGTTTACAAAATAGACGACTTAAAGAAGATCTAAACTCTCTAATTTCAAATCGTGTTAACAAGTCAGTATCATATTTTGCCACCTTCTAATTCTTCCACACTTTCACCTCATAACTTGCACATATTCCAGTACACAAGTAATCAACATTACAAAATTAAATTGACTAATCAAAATAAGTACATAACATAATCAAAATTTTCCTACAACAAAACTGCAAAAGAGAAGATTAAAGTTTTCACAAGCCTAATAGAGAAAATGAAGACATTGGTAACTTCTGTAAAATCAAAAATTTTCATCAGTAGCTGTTCGTGAACATAGCAACTGAGTATTGGTTTCTGATACAGTACAGCTCTTATACTGGTAAGACAGAGATATGGGTTACCACCTGAGAAAAGGCAACGACCCCATACCATAATTATTGGGGACTCAAACACATATATGTACAGCCAAAAATGGACAAATTTGATGATTTGAAAAAAAAAAAAAAAGAGTAAATGATGATGTGTGAGGAATATGAATTTGGATTCCCTTGAGGCCACTTTCTCTCAGTTTTCCCCAATACTGTATCACTTGAATCCATTAGGATCGTCTGTTGTTGAGGGAAAGCATTGTATTGGAGGATGCCTGGATCCGTTGAACACTCCTAAGCCACTGATCTTGCAAAATTCCCAGCCCAGAAACTAGTTATTTTCCAGACGGAAGGGAAGAAAGAATATGCCTTAACAATTTTATCTTCAACTGATATCCGTACTACCAACAGCAACTTTGCGGTGACGCCTTGACCTGGATTTCCTGTCTTTACCACGCTTTGTAGGGATCTTTTTGATTGGAGTACTTCCAATACTTTCTATTGGAATGCTTGGTGATGTTTTATTTGGTGTTTCAACAATAAAAGGTGGTGGTGGTGGTGGCGGATGGAGAATGGCTATAGCACCACCAGGCAGAGGAGGAGGAGGAGCCCAATGTTCTAGCAGATCTCTATGGTACCCCTGCATGCAATTCACAAAATAGGAAAATATTATTACACACAACAACACACTGAGGGAGAGAGAGAGAGACTCATACGTGATAAAACATTGAACTGACATTCTCTTACAAGTCCAGAAATGTGAAAAATATAATCATGAACTAGTCAAATTCAGAGCATCAATCAAATCACCAAAAAAAGCAGGAAAAGGAAATGAGACAGCCAATGACATCAAAAAATGTGCTCAAGTAGCACAAGCCACCAGAGAGATGGTTTTCGCACAACAGCCAGCAAAGCAACTATTAGAAACATTGTTATGGATACCATGCCAATTCAATGGTATTTGAAGTTCGACATTCAATATGTGCCTCAAAATAAAAAAGCGAACTTCACCATGAAATTTTCATGATCTCCAATGACTGTTATGTACAATGACGAAACTAGCCACAATGATCATCAAATTTGCAAGGACCCTGTTGGGGTGTGTGTCTGTGTATGTCAGTTCAAGGTGAATGTGTGTAGGTGATAGAGATTGAAAAGGGATTGGATAAGCTTAAATTGAATANCACCATGAAATTTTCATGATCTCCAATGACTGTTATGTACAATGACGAAACTATCCACAATGATCATCAAATTTGCAAGGACCCTGTTGGGGTGTGTGTCTGTGTATGTCAGTTCAAGGTGAATGTGTGTAGGTGATAGAGATTGAAAAGGGATTGGATAAGCTTAAATTGAATAATTAAATTTTATTATTTGTTTTAGTATTATTTTATTAGTTAGGAAATATTTGTTTGACTAGAAATATTAATTATAATTTAACTAGAAAATTATTATAGAATTTTAGTAGGATAGGGATTTGAGAGTTTGATTATNACTTAAATTGAAGAATTAAATTTTATTATTTGTTTAAGTATTATTTTATTAGTTAGGAAATATTTGTTTGACTAGAAATATTAATTATAATTTAACTAGAAAATTATTATAGAATTTTAGTAGGATAGGGATTTGAGAGTTTGATTATGAAACTCTTTTAGTATTTTAGTAAAGGACTTGACCTATAAATAATAGTGTAATCCCAACTATTTTTAATTAGAGAGAGAGTGATATAATAAAAAGTGATTCTCCGTGGAGAATTTATGTTTCTTCACCGATTCCTTGCGAGAATGAGATAAACCCCTTTCACCTCCTCTGCTTTCTTCTTCTCTTTCTATTCTGTAATTTCTAGTCCTTCCCATTCTACATCAATTTGGTATCAGAGCCCAACTTCAATCATTCTCGATTGTAGTTATGCTTCTTGACATCTGTTTGTCATCCTTAAGTTTTAGTCCCCTTCTAAAAAAACTTTGCAGAATCAAGTCTAACAAAAAAAATAGTAATCGCCCACTACACAAAACCCATAACACAGAATAGTACCCAAATTCACGAAATTACACAAACACCCCCAAGTCTTTTAAAATTATATATCTAACCCCTTAGAGTTTTTGAAATTACATTTTTGCAACCAATAGTTTTGAAATTATATTTTTGCCCCCAAAAGTTTTTGAAATTATATTTTGGCCCCCAAATTTTTTGAAATTACATTTTGGCCCCTATGTTTTAGAAATTATAATTTAGCCCCAAAATTTTCTAAAATTATAGATTGACCTCAAAATTTTCAAAAAAAAAAAAAAGTTGTTAAAATTATCTTCCAATCAATATGGTTTCCAATATCAAATTAAATGCTAAAATGGAGGTTTTATTCCAAGCACAAGTTGATTCACAAAAGGCTAAGAATGCTAGACTAGATACAATTCAAGCATTCATCGATTCATTGAGAGAACTTGTGCTCGCTACAATTTGTGAAACCAAAACAAGTAAAGGTTTTAACTTTGTCTCTTCAACTGTCAATCAAAAAGTGGTTGAACACAGCCCTCAAGTTCCACCATCACAAGTTCCACCACTACAAGTTCCAATCCGATTGAATGACGATAAACCAAAGATATTCAATGTTGATGAGCCCAAAAGTTCTACTTCTACTCATCCTACAACAATTGATTTTGACAAGCCAATTGCAAAGGATATTCCTACAGATGAAAAACAAGTTTCAAGCGCAATTTTTTTAGATAGGATTGCTACTTTTTCATTAACATCCTCACCGTCCTTTTGTTTGGAACAAAATGTGAAGGTTATGAAGATTTGAAATATAGATTCCTCCCATTGTGATATCCTATATTATGCTATTGAAGGGAAATCTTACTTTTATGCGATCAGGTTTGAACATGTGTTTCACCGTCTGATGTCAATTCTTTTGGAGTATTCTTGCTACAACAACTCTTCGGAGAAAAATTTTTTTCAGTCAGGGAGAATTGATAGAGATCGAAAAAGAATTGAATGAGCTTAAATTGAAGAATTGAATTTTATTATTTGTTTTAATATTATTTTATTAGTTAGAAAATATTTGTTTGACTAGGAGTATTAATTAAAGTTTAACTAAGAAATTATTATAGAATTTTAGTAGGATAGGGATTTGAGAGTTTGATTATGAAACTCTTTTAGTATTTTAGTAGGAAAATAGTTTTTATTTTAGTACGGGACTTGACCTATAAATAATGGTGTAATCCCAACTATTTTTAATTAGAGAGAGAGTGATATAATAAAAAGTGATTCTCCGTGGAGAATTTATGTGTTACTTCACGATTCTTTCCAAGGATGAGGTAAACCCCTTTCACCCCCTCTTCTTTCTTCTTCTCTTTCTATGTTGTGATTTCTAGTCCTTCATGTTCTACATCAATAGGCCTAAGTTACATGGACTCTCCAAAATGCATCAAACACCAATGTCGGACACTCGATACATGGGTTACAGTTCCATCAGATATGCACCTAGTAAGCATATGTCCAATGATCAACTTCTTGATACACTACCATTATGTGTTCTTTTTGATTCGTAGCCATTTTAAATGACAAAAATCCCCTTTAAACACTATTGCACAGAACACCATTCAGCCCCAGGAACATAGTTATCAATATCGTATGATACGTGATATGTATCGTACGATACAGGCAAAACGATACAAATAGTAATTTTCAAATTTTGTATCGTTTTTGTATTGTATCGTCCAATATACAATACGTTTTTACGATACGATATGTATTGGTACGATACGAATGATACATGTAAAAACTATTTTATTTTTGTTTTTAAGGAACGATGTCGTTTTGTGGTTAGAGACTAATCCCTATANATGATATGTATCGTACGATACAGGCAAAACGATACAGATAGTAATTTTCAAATTTTGTATCGTTTTTGTATTGTATCGTCCAATATACAATACATTTTTACGATACGATTTGTATTGGTACGATACGAATGATACATGTAAAAACTGTTTTATTTTTGTTTTTAAGGAACGATGTCGTTTTGTGGTTAGAGACTAATCCCTATAATCACTGAAACGACGTCGTTTCAATGGCTTGGATTTACAAAAAAATTAAAATACCTTTTTTCCTCTCCATTCTTCGTTGTTTGCTGTCTTCGACTCCTAGGTGTTCTTCAGACTTCACGACAACGATCACAACAGCCTTCGACAACGATCACAGCAGTAGCAGTCTTCGATGACGATCATAGCAGCAGCAGCCTTCGACGACGATCACAACAGCCCAAGTCTCCATCGTTGTGAAGAACCCTAGCCCCTCTCTCTTTTCTCTCTGTTCTTGACGATGACGAAGCCATCAAAGATTGTTTCTCTGTTCTTGAGGACAACGATCTTTCCCTCTCTCTCTTCTCTCTGTTTTGTTTTTTTGTATCGTCCTTTTTTTTTTTCAGGCACTCTCTACTCTTCACTATGTTTTAAAATAGGAAGAATTATACTTAGACCCCTTAAGGTTTATTACTTAANCAGAAATTATAGTTTAGCCCCAAAATTTTCTAAAATTACAGATTGACCTCAAAATTTTCAAAAAAAAAAAAAAANACGACGATCACAACAGCCCAAGTCTCCATCGTTGTGAAGAACCCTAGCCCCTCTCTCTTTTCTCTCTGTTCTTGACGATGACGAAGCCATCAAAGGCTGTTTCTCTGTTCTTGACGACGGCGATCTTTCCCTCTCTCTCTTCTCTCTGCTTTGTTTTTTTGTATCGTCCTTTTTTTTTTCCAGGCACTCTCTACTCTTCACTATGTTTTAAAATAGGAAGAATTATACTTAGACCCCNAGAGGCTTTATTCCAAGCACAAGTTGATTCACAAAAGGCTAAGAATGCTAGACTAGATACAATTCAAGCATCCATCGATTCATTGAGAGAACTTGTGCTCGCTACAATTTGTGAAACCAAAACAAGTAANCCTTAAGGTTTATTACTTAATTACTTAGACCCGTAACATTTAAAATATTACATACAGACCCCCTAAAATTTATACACACATAACACTTAAACCCTGCTGTAAATATATCCGTTAATAAATTACATCTAAACACCCTAAAGTTTATAAACATATATTTTATTTTTAATTATTTAAAATTACACCGTATCTTCCAATACACGATACGATACTCTATTTTTAAAAAATGATACACTTTCCGATACACGAATTGACAAGTATGCCCAGGAATAATATAGAAATATTGAACAATAAAAATAATTGGCCATGCTTAGATCCAACGCTTACGCCCGTATGTACANACAAGTTCCAATCCGATTGAATGACGATAAACCAAAGATATTCAATGTTGATGAGCCCAAAAGTTCTACTTCTACTCATCCTACAGCAATTGATTTTGACAAGCCAATTGCAAAGGGTATTCCTACAGATGAAAAACAAGGTTCAAGCGCAATTTTTTTAGATAGGATTGCTACTTTTTCATTAACATCCTCACCGTCCTTTTGTTTGGAACAAAGTGTGAAGGTTATGAAGATTTGAAATATAGATTCCTCCCATTGTGATATCCTATATTANCACCGATTCCTAACTTAGGTGCAGACATATATATATAAAGAATTTGATTATTGGATATTGGTATTACAAAATGGATCAACTAANAACCGATTCCTAACTTAGGTGCAGACATATATATATATAAAGAATTTGATTATTGGATATTGGTATTACAAAATGGATCAACTAAGAAAATGCTACTTCTAAGAGTTAATTAGAAGACCCACACAACACTTGAAANGTCTGATGTCAATTCTTTTGGAGTATTCTTGCTACAACAACTCTTCGGAGAAAATTTTTTTTCAGTCAGGGAGAATTGATAGAGATCGAAAAAGAATTGAATGAGCTTAAATNAAGAAAATGCTACTTCTAAGAGTTAATTAGAAGACCCACACAACACTTGAAACCTCTA